TACTGCTCCTGCTGAGCTTCCAGTTCCTGCGCCCAAGGTTCAACTTCCGTCCGAGTATCAAGACTTCTCTGATCTCTTTGACAAGAAATCTGCTGAAACTCTGCCTCCTCACCGTCGAGGCTTCGACCTTGAAATCAAACTCAAGGACGAGTCTTCCCTCCGTGCTGCTCCTCTGTACAAGATGTCTCCTGAAGAGCTCTCCACTCTCGAAGTGGAAATCAAGGAACTCCTTCGCAAAGGGTTCATCCGCGAATCCAAGTCTCCCATCTCCAGCCCGGTCCTGTTCACCCTGAAAGCCGACGGTTCTCGCCGTATGGTTGTCGACGGCCGTCAAGTCAATGCCGTTACCATTCCGAACAGCTACCCGCTTCCTCTCATCTCCGAGCTCATCGACCAGCTTGGTCCAAGTCGCTCTCGCCCCTCTTGCTCCAAGATCTTCACCAAGGTCGACCTTCGCTCTGCTTATCATCTACTCCGTGTCAAGGAGGGTGACGAGTACAAGACCGCCTTCCGCTGTCAACTTGGCCTCTTTGAATTCCTGGTGGCACCTTTCGGCCACATCAACTCTGGCGCCTGCTTCCAGAGATTCATCGCTTCTCTTCTCCAAGGTATTATCGGTGTTGTTTTCTACCTCGATGACATCCTCATCCACTCCGACACTCTCGAGAACCACGTCCCTCTCGTCCGCCGTGTTTTTACAATTCTGCGCGACAACCAGCTGTCATGCCCCACTGGCATGCCTACTTACTTGCATGCATTACCTTGTATTGTTTGTCATGTCTCCCATACTGGGAATGGTTCATTCGTCAATATACCTTTTTTCATGAACATTGCCTGACAATCGACGTACCTTTGCACTGACTCTGACAATTTGACGAATCAACATTTTGTCACCCAGTGTTCATCGACAGACTCTTCTCCCCGACTGCCACGACTGCTGCATCTCAAGACGCCGCAGTGATCACGACTCGTTTTCTCTCTCTTTCTGTTCTGCCACGTTTCTTTCATTTTTTCTTTTCTCGTTTCATTTCATTTTTCTTCGCTTCCTTCTCTTTCTCCCCTCATTCCTTGCATTTTTGTTTTCACTTTGCTTCGTTCTTCCACATTCCCCACCACGACTGCTGTGTTCGAGACACTGCAGTGATCAAGACCCCTTTTCGACCCCAGCACTGCAATCGCACTCGGCACTGCTGTGGCCGTCTTTCTTTGTTATCTTTTCCCCACATCTTCACGTGTTTTCCTTTTTCAGTTCTTTGCGGTTTTCACTTTTCTCGCACTCTTTTCTCAATCCTTTCTCCAATCTTTCATTCAAGATCTCACCATGAGCGACGCTGGCCCCTCGAACGCCAGTGGCGACACGGACACCGATAGCAACACGTCTATGCTCAGTCCCGAGCAAATGGCACAGGGTATCGAGCAAAGCAATGCCGAGATCCAGGCTGCGGAAGACACCAGCGTCACAGCCTCCATGAGTTTTAACGACCTGTGCAAGTTCTTCGGCGTGTCAAAGTTCGATGGCAGTGCCGACAACCTGGATCGTTTTGTGAGAAATTTTTCGAATCGTTGCAAGATGGTCTCACTGACTGAAAAGGACAAGGTTACCGTCCTTATTACCTGCTTGTCGGACTCGGCACTGGAGTTCATCATGGACGAGCTGGACGATAAACCGGGTAGCACTTCGGACGAGCTGCTGGCCGCGCTCAAGAGAAAGTTCAGCGACGAAACGACTGGAGCGCGTGCGCGCCAGCTACTGGCCGACCTGCGCTACACGGCACGCAGCGTGAAGGAAGTGGTCGAGACGGTTGAGAGGCTGAGGCGCATTCGCGGCATCAACATCACCGAGGACGGCATCAAGCAGGACTTGCTCGCAGCTCTGCCGCCCGTCGTGTACGCCACCCATGCCCTCAACTGGTCCTTGGATGAGACGTTGGCGAACATCAAGGCCTCGATCCTGTATTCGATGCAATTCGAGCCGAAGCGCAGAAACAACGGCAACAGGGTGAGCGACAACACCCCCCTTGACAACAGCGACAACCGCGGACGACAACTCGGGTGACCGTGGTGACGAGAAAGACTGGTTTGACCGCATTCCCAAAGTGTACCAGTCGTTTGCATCAGTGTTTGACCCCGAAGCAGCTGCGCAGCTACCACCGCATCGTGAAGGCTATGACATGCACATTGAGCTCATGCCGGGCGCGAAGCT